TATTTTGCCGTAACATAATATTGTATAAATTACAAAAAAATATCAATTTAATTGATACTGTCTACCTATTTCTGCTATTCATAAAATACCTAACCAATATGAAATATAAGTAATTTTGAAAATAAATCAGTTAGTAATAAAAATAATAATTAGCATAGTTTCAGATACATAAAAAAAATATTATGTAATATAAAATTAAATTTACTTACTATATTTTTTAACTTCACAGTTAACTTAACTATAATTAACGACAACGTATGTTTATATAGCATAAACTCTATACCTACGTGTAATTTTACTGTAAAAGTATTCAACTACCTACTTTTTAAGTAATCAATAGTACGTATTTTTAATACTTTTGAAAAAAGTACTTGAAAAAATGATGTACTGTTGTATAATTTAACTACGAATTGGTGTTAGACATAGACATTCATTGTCATTTTAAATTTTAAATGAGTGATTTTTAATTTTCACCAATATCATTCTTCGATGTAAGTATTTTTTACACATAATATATTAATATCATAATCAATACTTATATTTGATTTAATTTACATTAACATTGAACACGATTAGCATGCATATTTTAAATTGTAAATGACTATACTTATAAAATGTATGATTTCGTGGTTGTTATAATTACTCAAGTCAGATAGAAGACCGAATTAAAAACAAATTATGATTATAAAAGTTAAAATATGCATTTGAATAATGCACAATATTTGTTCTTTTTAAAACTTTTTTTCTAGGTACTACTATTTAAAGTAAAATACATTTCTTTGATAAATGACTAAATTTATTATAAGTTTACATTACTCAGAAATATAACTTTTACCTCAGGTGTTCGGTTGATGTGTGTATTCTTCAAGAACAATATTTTTTGTATCGGCATCTCCAATTTTTTTTGGTTCCATCAAAGTTTTACACATTTAATGTACGCAATTGAATCAATTGATTTTTTTTCCCAAGAATGATCTTTACTTAAGCCATCGTTAATTACAACCGATTTTAGTAGTTAAGGTTTTATGGCGATTTAATAGGTACAATACTAACAGTATATTCTAATAATCTAAAACTCTTTTACACGTCATACACCATGCTCAAATAAAAGCTTTTTATATTATATACAATTGTAAAATCATAAATTGCACAATTAAACATAATAATTATATACACCAATACCTATTCACTCTAAAATCGTCAACTTTACACCGTAAACACGTCAAAGGGGAGTAAGATTTGTTTTTTTTTTTTTAGAAACTTAAATAATTATATTATAATGAATACAAGAAAATGTTACGATCAAATACATTCAATATTTTACCTTCAATTGTACGGACCGGGAACGAACAATAAGTCCGTGAGCCCGGGTCACATATATAGAAATACTTAGCGTTGTACCACTACTCACCGGCTTATCCGTGTATTTTGTGTGTATAAATGTTATAGCAGCTCAAAGGAAGTGGACACGGTCGCCGAGCAAAACCAGTGAGTGCTATTGTGTGGTGGATGTGTAGGTGTGCACATGAAAAAAGGGTTACAAAGGTTTCATGGTAGATTATAATATATGTTGCTTTCAAATAATATAATTCTAATAATAAAAAAAAAAAAACACATAAATTAATCACAGCATATGGATTATAATGAAAGAATAATTGATAATATACGGGGAATAAGTCCAAAGATGCACACTGCGATTACTGTCCTTTTCGGACCAACAATAAATAAAACGATAAAATGTATAAACAAAGATTATAGATAAATACAATAGCCTTTTGGCTCTATAGTAATAAAGGTATATTATATAAAGTAATAACAAATAATTGGCTATTTTAACCTTTGATAATGTAGCGTAAATAATTAGACAGCTATATATTTTGTGCTGCTGTAACCATTAAATACTAAAATCGATGGCTACCTGAGCCTATGATGTAATAATTATAAAAAAAAAATAAACAGTTCTCAAAAAATGTACATAAATGTTTATATACTGGCTGCTTCTATAGCTAAATAGTAAAAAAAAACTCATACATCATTCAAAAACGCAATAGGTAATATGATTATATTTAAAATAAGATGGAGATTGCATTATACATCTTATAGGAATAGTGAAATATATTAAACACTGCGGTGTTTTGTGCACACGGAATTACCTTTAATATATTATTAGGGGCGATTAGCGAACACCATCAAATAATAATTGAAAAAAGGTACACGCCAGTGATTAGCGTCTTATAATACCAATAATTCAATACATTAACTCAAAATAACCAATAATAGCATTTTAAAGTATTTTGGTAAATGTAAACGATAATCAACTGTTTGTAATAAATTGGAACTTTTGTTTTTCATTATTAATTTTAAACTCATTATTGACCAGACATTTATCCTAAAATACAAAAAAATAAATAATATCATAATAAACTACACTTTTTAATTTATTTAATAATGATATGTAAATAACATTTCCGTCACTACGGCTTTATATTATATGTTAATAATTCTAATTTGTATTGCTAATATGCAAACATTTTGTTATACGTCAATATAACTACAAATTAAAATATACGTTGCTAAATAAAGCTTCGTTAAATACCTTGTTATATTTGCATTTCATTTTAACAGTGATATTTTAATAAATTCACTACAAATTTATATAATAAATTTGAAAAAAACATGGTTTTTGTATTAATAGAATAAAATATACATATTATCATATTATAATTATATTAAAATTTTACACAGTTGATGGATGTACTATTCCAATCGTCATTAATATAAGAACAAAATTTTCACTTTACAAGATCGCTCTAAAGACTATAATGAGTGGTTTAGTTGTTATTTGATGGGTAGCACATTTTGCATTCAAGTTTTTCGGAGACCAATCGTCGTGAAACTGAACCCGAAGGCTTACTGCAGCTGACACGTGCAGCAGCAGGTGGATTCGAACAGCTCTATAATACAAAAAAATAAAATATAAACCAATCCAATACACTTTGTCATGCGTTGAAAAACAAAATATAGACATTGTCATAATGTCGTAATAAATCGGACGGCCAGACATTTAAAAGGGGAGTCTCATTCGACCACAGTTCAATGGCATTGTACAAAATAATGGCAAGGACCGTCTTAAAGTATTAGCTCCGGGACTGGGTTTTACGAATCGTTTAAATAAAATGCGTACAGCTGAAACCATTAAATTTTAATAGAATCTTTTTTTCAGTTTTTTTTCGTCTTCAGCCGAAACTTAAAAAATAATCACTTGACTCGTACTCCAGCGTACAGGCTGAAGCATCCATAGATATGACGAGGTGTCTAATAATATAGCCTAAGATATTTCTATGGAATTCCCATTCCAAATGTAAATCGTCAAAACCAGTCAAGTAGTTTTGAGCATAAAAACATATATACATTAGTTGTACATAATAAACTGGTCACATAAAAGTCTATCTTATTTCTGTAATTAACGGACCTTTATGTACCTATATAAAAAAATATTCTGTTTTCCAAAGCAAAAACCACCTCAAAACAACCTACTTGGGTTGAAAAATAAAACTATAAACACTTCATAAGTCTCAAAGAATACGTGAGCCAAATTTGGTGCTAATTTATTCAGTAGTTTCCAAGTTTATTAGCCCCATTCAAACGTATATTACATTTTATAAATATGTATAGTTTTATAGATAAATGATGGAAAATAATATTTAATATAATATTATTATATTCATTATAATATATATTTTATCATATTTTGTCAGATTACCTAGAATAAAATTCGGTCGTTTTATTTGCCTAGAACATGATGAGAAACATTTTTTGAAACGTCTTCAAATTTCGATATAAAATATGAAGATGGAGTTATAAGAGTTATGTTATAAGAGTTATTTTAAGATAATAAATGTTATGAATCTTGTATCTTCTTTTTTTATACCACCATTTTTTAAGTACATTTAAAATTTTTGTATGCCTCAATATTTGTGAGTGCATACCTTGATTAACTTCTTATAATGAAATGTAAACCAACAATTTTAAGATTAGAAAGAATATATTTTATTATTATCATAAGATGAAAAAAAATAATGATAGGTATCAATCAATAAGTTGAAATAAGAAACTATGGTATTTAAGTAACAATATTATATAATATTTTCCTCGTACACAGGAATGTACCTATATTGCCTATACATTCCTCCGTGTCAAGAAATCATAAAAAAATCAATTCAGGAAGGGACAAACAAAAAAGGGAGTTGGGTATTCATCTTGCTACTTTGACACCGGTGCCCAAAGGTATCGTGTTGCAGTTATTTTAAATCAATATTATACATTCACAACCATAGACATTGGCTTAATGTTGTTATTAGGTAATATTGTCTGGGTTGTTCGTTCTCAAAAACAAAAAACTCAAAATATTTTACATAAATTTATATTTTATAAGTTTGTGCCATGTACCTTTTTGAAAATAAAAATATTACTTTTTGTTTACATACAAGAACACAGTCTACAAGTAAGTTTGTATACATTTTTAAAAAATCATCGGGGTAAATAATCAAGGTGACTTCACACTGCACCAAGATTTCCAGGAAAAAAATCATTTTTTGATTTATGTTAATTTTTAGTGTGATTAAGGCGTGATTCAAGTGTTTGATAGGTGTAACTAAATAGTGAGTGATAACTGGTGTAACATGTTATGACATGGGTAGAATTGGATTCTACTTTCTGGTATATGCGAAATATACTATATGGTAACGCGACTGTTATACCGCTTACTACACAACTAGATTCAGCTAATAATTCTGCTGAATTATTTTTCTGAAAATCACGGTTTACGGGAGCAGTGTGAAGTCGCCTCGAGACTATATTAGCGGGTAAGAAGTTGCAGGAAAAATATTCAAAACTACACCAGACATTATGCTTGCACGTACAGTGACTCGAATGCGTACGCCGTACAGTCCCACCCCTTGTAAAATTTATCCATCGTAGATTTTTTTTCTATGCTTTCACTATAGGACACTATAGGATCGTTGCAGGATACGTGGGGCGCACTTACGTCGATCAGCCTGAACCGTTTTGACTGCAGCAATACGCTTATCACGTCCGTCAGGTTCCGCGCGTTCCTCGGGCTGGCCAAGAAAGCTCGTGTCCCGTACCGACGGGCTACTTTTTTGATTACCGTGGTAAATCGGGTTTGATCGCCAATCGTATTCGGCAAGACATTCAGTATGAAACATCGCAGCTTCCAGTAGCTCAATCTCGGAACGTGGCACGAAGTCATCGCTGTTACGCGGCAATGGCATATTTATATATATTATTGCTTTTGCTCGTATCACACATTGAATAGAAATAACATAATAATATGAATAAAAATATTTTGTATACATTACCGTGTGCCATAGATCTGTGCGACGAGCGAGAAGTTTAAACATCTTTTGAGTCGTCATGACGCGTTTCCTGCGTAACGCCAAGTCCGCCGTTGTTATTAATAAAATAAAAAACATATTTTATTAATTTTTTTTTTCATACTGGTTTTGAGCATGAAAACTATGGCCATTAGCTTTTGTAGGGGTTAAACTACTGTAATCGGTTTAGTTTGGTTGGTGTGGTTCGTAAGGTTAGAACGGTTGGAACGATTGTTTGGGAACACTCAACACGTGTATGTGTGGCAAGATTTTTGTCACTATGCACCCGAGTAGTCACCCATCCGGGATATTAGTTATTGTTTTCGTTATACGAGTATATCGGATTACACACTCCAGGGCTGTATTTAAGTACTGAGTAGAAAGAAATATGAAAGATGGTTTTGGAAAAAAACCATCACTGTCTTATATTGCTTTTAGAAACGATTACATATGTGATTACATATATGGTTGCTATGTATTATAGCTGTGCACATAACTAATATATATTATATCATACTAATATACTGGCATAATGGAGCGGTCAGCTAGAAAATTAGTGTTTGTGTTATATGTTTTAATAAATAAAACAAATTTTATGGAAATATTATCATACAATTTTAAACATTGTTGGCGAAATAACTTAACAATATTATAACACTGATAATAATTGAAACCTCAAGAATTGCAATATAATATGATATTAAAGTTAGTTCAAAACAATATACTGATATAATATTGTTATCGGACACTTGAAGGGATATCGGTTTACTTTACTAATCGACACGCTGCCTAAAATATGATATACAGAGAGAGGCGTACCGTATGTCAAACTTCCGGGCCAGACTCTAATAATAATGTATTATGTAGTTTATATTGTATACTGAAGGATTAGAGTATAATATTATTATTTATTTGTAATTGACCGATAAATTAAATTACACACAGTGTGCTGAAAAGATGGCATTATAAGATAACGATATTTAAATATAGAAAATTAACATATTATTATTACAATACTATCGATTTTTCTTAAGTTATTAACTAGGTACCTATAAACATATTATAAACTATACAACATAATGTATTGTTTAACTAATATTGTCGATTTAATATTATTATGATATAAAAAAAAAAGTTGTAAGGGAATGCCACATCCACAGTATGATGTGTCATTTCCGTCTTACAAACGTACTAAGTACAATATATCAAACTTTATGTTCACAAAAATCAATTTTGCTCCGTCATATTATTAGAATTATAGTGAATCGAACTATTATACAATGTAAGATGTATAGGGTACTTCGGAGGCTTCTAGTAATATTTCAATTTTGAAGTAAGTTATGATTATTTTAAAATTTACAAAAGATTCCGAAATTACCTAGATAATAGTTATACCTTAACATTTTATAAGGGGTCAGTTTATTATAATTTTAAGAACAACAGCGTAAAATGGATTATTTGAATTTAAAGTTTGATATTTGTAAAACGAATACAATACGTCATCTGGGATTGGCGTCTTCTTAGCATAACCATTTTGGTTTTGATTTAATTAAAGATGCAACTTACATCTGTTTAAATAAATTATCAACTTCACTTACGATTATTCGCCAACTATTTATAGATTTTTTGGGAAAATCCTATTTATCACTTATATAGTTATTTGTTATGCTATTATGTACCATTCCAATCATATTTGTACTTATTTATAGTTATTATAAATCATTTTAGTACAAATTATGAAGTATACAAAATATAATTATTATAGTGCTTTATAAATGAAAAAAAAATACATCACCCAAGTATAATATTTTGATTTTAGTTAAATTTAAGATTATGATAAAATATTATTATATTAATTATAATTTTCTCGTACTAAGACAACGTTATGAACCTTAAGAGAGATTTAATAAAGGACAAATATAGAAAATGTAATAATGGTGGACGATAGTATTACATTTTAAAACGGACATCATATTTATAAATTGAAAAACAATTTTACTCTTAATCAATTTATTTTCTCATGACGTCATAACACTACTTTATGATAAATAAAATTTTTATATAATTTAACGGGGTAAATAGGTTAATTACTTGATATTATTGGTTGAAATATTCACACAATTACCTGATTATGACTTAATAGATTGTTATTAGTTTAAAATATATTTATTTTAATGATAAGTAGATTAGCATAAAAAATAAACTATTTTTTTACTAATAAAACACAAATAATATTCCTAATAATATAAAAATTAAATAAAACAAATACATAATATAGTATCACCCATAACTTATTGACTATAACATTGTGGTTTGTAATTTTATTATAAATTATAATATTATAATTATTATATCAATGTATACAGATAATATTTTTCATAATAACTGATTATAAAAAAATAAACTAACTTATTTATTAGATTATACAAAGTGTAGTTTGAAATATTTTATTATTTCAAATATAACTATTTAATGACAACTACTCACAAAAAATAAAGATTTTCCTAGGTCAAAGGATTTATTCATTAAAGTTTACTTTATATTATAATAATAATTGATTTGTACTGAACGAATATTATGAACGATTATTTATATAATAAAATATTAATGTATTCAAAAATTTAATTATTTTGATTTACCAGTGCTCGCTACTTCCTTGAAATTGCTGGAAAACCACTAAATAATGTTGAAATTTACATCACAATATTGTTTCTTAGTAAAAAATCATATTTTGACAATTTTACTTTTATTTAAACAGCAATCGTATCAGATTTATTAAAATCTTTATTAAAATATTATACATACACATCCACATTTATCATATATTATAAGGCACTCCGCACTCGAAACCGATTGTAAAATCGGAATTTGTGGAACAGATAAGCGTACCTTGAAGCTTTAGTAATTCAGACATTTACATTTTAGGTTAACATAACCGTAACGTGAATGAGATTAAGGTGTAATGCTTCTTGTGATTTTTTTACTAAGATAACGCTCGAAAACGAATCGGTTTACAAGACGACAATAAACAAGATATCTCCGTATAAGCTAATAAAATTTAAAATGGAATGCGGTAACCCCTTTTCACATTTAATGTCTATAATGTTGGTCGTTCGTCCAGGAAAAAGCAGTTTCCAACCAGCCATTTACGTATGGTATATTGGTATAATATTATATACGTATATTATGTCACGACGGTTATTACCGAAACGATGACGACGATGACAATAGCTATAGAAAAAAAGAAGTTATTATGTGTTTAAAATCGAAATACCAAATAAAACTAATAAACCCTAAATGAAATGTTCAGTGTGTTTTCCCATGTGGTAAATTCAGTATTTTGTTGCAATTATTTATTTATTTCTTCATTATTTAGTTGGTTATTTGTATTGTATATTATTACACTTATATTATTTCTATTACGTTTGAGTTTTATTCTCGTTAAAACAACACGGAATTCTTATCCGTTTGCTTTTTTTTCGTAAATCTATTGCCGATTCCATATAATATCGTTCAACAGTCGACATCATATTTCGCCATTGTTCTACCTCTATATTGTATATTGCAGCCGCTCGGCGTATATTTCTTTTATTCATTTTTCCATTCAATTGTATTCGCTTTATATATGTGTGTTTCTTTCTAATAGTCGTATAAGACACAGCTTGTACGAGTAGAAAACGGTCGTATCCCTATTCAACCGCCGCCGTCATCCTAGACATAACACAACGATTGTCTCAACCCAAGCGTTAACGCTACTTTTGTCGTTTCCGTTACACCTTTTACACACGTAAACAACACGCACACAAACCCAAAACAATTGAGGCGTCAGAAGATGATTAGCATTTATGTGTCCATACGCGCATTTCACGATTGTGTGTGTCGTGTTATTATTGTTATCCTTTGCGATACGATTTATGTACATATCGTGTCTTTGACGACACAAAATCGTAATAACACTGTAAAATGATTTCCGTTTATTTCATCGCACACGCACTTATTCCTCTATACAAGCACGGAAATAATTGTCCTACACGTGTACTTACCTAGAATCGCACTTTTGGAATAAAACAGGGTTATTAATTATAATCGTAATATTTCTTAGTGGGTCTATAACGTACCGACTACCGATTTACTTATAATTACAACTTACAGTACAATATTATATTATATCGTTTTTTATAATATCGTCTTGCTATTAATAGTAAAATAAAATACAGAAAAATTGAAATTTATCAGGAAATCACCAGAGTAGGACGATCGCGGAGTTTTCCACTTGTGAGTCTAGAGTTTTTGTACACATCATTCATGCAGTAAAATGTTCAATGATATATATAATATTTAGAATGTTGTTTAGGAAGTTTGTATATTATAATACACATTATAGTATATAGTTCGCTCGGGGAACGTTTACCCGGGTTTGGTCGCATCTCGGTAAGGGCGAACCGCGATTCACGGGCGAATGGCCATAGTGTAAAAGTTCGAGCCCACAGTGCGCCGTTGATAGTTAGTCGTAAACCGACACCGAAACTTTGTCGTTTAAGCCGTTTCGTCGCAATATACTTGACGTTTGATAGACTTTGAACAATACAATTCAATTGTGTGTATAATAATAATAACTGACGAGTCCATTATATTTATGCGAGTATATAGGTACAACCGCATCAATGATATTATTGTCATCTGTAGTCCATTTATTTTTCTACTTAATACAATGATTGTAGGTGTGCAATAATAATATAATAATATTTTGTATATATTAATAATATGTATACGACGGAATCGGCCGCCGCCGCAGCAGTTGTAATCGCGCAGACATAATGATTGTGCTATAAATAAGACACCCTCGCGGTCGTATATACACATAATAAATAATATAATATATACGCGTGTGGGTGTGT